CATAATGTAATTACTTGTATCTGCCCTGTGCTCTGTCTGTAATTGGGCTTGCGGCTGTTGACTCGGCGCATAAATAATAAAGAATTGAATTGAATTTGCGTAGTCTATCAGGCTGCCTTTCCAGAAAGCTTTAAGTTCCTAGTGTGAATACTCCACTTCACAGCGCCCCTCAAGGGCTATGATGTGTAAGAGCGAGATAATTAATGGGTCATCTGCGGAGAACGTAGCTACGGATGGGAACTGTCAAATTCTTCCGTTGAATTTTCAACGTGCTTTCCGCCAGCAGACCTCGAGCTCGTTACTCCGTTGACGTCGCCCCATCGCGGAGCTGTGCACATAAGGGAGAGGAAATGTTTTCGCTCATTACGTAACGACCTCATACAAATCAGGCATTAGAGTCTGATACACGTTCAGTACATTCATCCTTCCTAACAGATTAGACAGCAAGTACAGCGCAGCTGGAGGTCCGACCATCATATCTCGCCCCAGGCGAGTGTACACAGCTGGTCCAAGCGCATAGCACAAACTTAAAAAAAGAAAAGAAGGAAAGAAAAGAAATAACTTCCTCCTTTTCATGCAATATGCGCACACTAACTCGATGCTGTCCGTACTGGTATCTTGGCAACGGAGTGAGCGATCTGGGATCGGTTCCTGGTAATAGAGCAGGAACTATTCTTCTCACCAGTGCATCCAGACTGGCTCTCGGCCAAACAGCCTCCTATCGTAGCGGTACAGGAGCTATGATTCATTTAACGACGCTATCAGTAAGTCAGATTATACAACTCAAATGAGAATATTAGTGAATAATGAATTGCAAAGGATATAGAAGGAAACGGCTGTGGCCCAACAGAGATACTGTCCCGGCATATGCCTGGAGGTGCTGAGAAAACCACGAAAAATATCAGTAAAAATTGCATTGCACTGGCCGAGATTCGAAACGAATAGCTCCAGAATATAAGTGCAACGGATTGCCGCTACATCAATTTGCTTGATGTTTACTGTTACCCCCATCTGTCCTCATGGCGTGATGCTTAATTAAGCACAGACACGTCTTCACATGTCTTGCTTTAAAAAGTTCGCAATGTATTGATCTTGATGTTCACGAAACTGCTCTTTACAGTTCTCTGGATAACATTGCATAAACACAACGCCATCAAGGTATAAAGAAGCGTGGAGGTAAAGCGCCAGGTAATCTTAGCTTCCGCGTAAGTTTCAAACTGGTCGGTTGGTTGTGCTCATGCGCTGCTCCGGTCGTTGTGAGTAAGACAGAAATTAGTGTTTCAACCGGAATCGAATCTTTGCCAATCACTTTACAATCAAAATGTCTGAATGATTAAGACGCATTTATTTCTGGCAAAATTTACTCCAAACTGAAGTTAACTTGTAGTCTACCTGAGTGCTAACACAAATTACGCGGGAGCTGAGCTTCTAAAGACAATGACCACTATGAAGACTGCTGTAGCAAAGAGGAAGAGTGGAACCACGCAGTGAGGTGTGAAGGAACAGTCTCTAACAAAAATAAGTACCAGGAATCTTCCTGGGGTAGGGCGGTAGGCGCATAAGGCTGACAACCTCACCGCCATCTGTCAGCCGATCGTGTAGAAAATGTGGCAGCCTTGACGTCTCACAACCCTAGGGCCCTCCACGGCCTGTTTCAGGAATAGCTTTATCTTTTCCCGGGGGTACAGCGGTTGGGGCATGAAGCTGACCACTCACCTTCAACAAGTGTCGAGGTCAGAAAATGTGGGTCTTTACATCCACTCCCCATAAGGCTTCATGGCGATGACGTGACCCTCTGGTCTCGCGTTCTCAAGAGAGACGTAGAACGGGTTGGGTGCCAGGTGGCAGTCTCAATTGTTCTCGTCAGACAAATTGACTGACTCGGGCTTAAGAGACAGCAACTGCGCGGTCCGTACAACTTCTTTTATTTTGAATGTGTTCTCTTGTTTCACAGTGGCGCACAGCGGCAAGTTAAACGACTATATTAATTACATGAGGACAGCAGAAATTTATCTTGGAGAAGTCCTGTAATAACAGACATTCAAAACACTGGCCATAGACACAAGTGCCGTCACATCAGACCACCTGTTCGTAATTACTGTAAAGCTATCTCTGTGCTTAACCCTTTATAGTCCGAAGATAAAGAGTGAGAGAGAGTGAACCGACAGCGGGAGTTGGGGTGGGGGTGGGGGTAGTAATAGGGTGAGACAGACAAATTTTCCGCCTTTGGAGGTTCCAAAACAGTGCCCGTTCGTCCTTTTAGCAGCTCCCAAAATTACTGGTCCTTCAGAAAGGCATCAAAACTAAAGATGGCGATGTTCCGGAAAAAGGCTGTAGACTTAACGACTTTGATTATATTTAGTAATTTAAGGACAGCACCTCCCCAAATAAAAAGGGGACGGTGCATACTCCGGAAAATAACGACACACACACTCGAAGCCCAAGCGCGAAATGTCGATTTTGTGAAAATCGGCTTTGCTGGTCGCAAGGATTTCACTCTTGTTCGGTATTCAGCAACCAACAATGGTCTACCGTGCAACAGTTGATTTCGTTTCGAAGGCGACGCAGTAAAGCCAATCGCATATGCATGCGCAGTGTTTTCTGTGCCTGTTTTTTTTCTTTCAACTTCCGATACTTTTCCTTCTTCTCGCCCTGCTCCCTTCATCACAATCTTCTTAAACTTCTCTGATTCCTCCACCATTTTCTCTTTCTCTCCTCATTCCTTTTCGTCTTCTATACTCCTTGTCTTTCTCATAATCTCCACCCCACCCTCGTCTTTCCTCAGTATCATGACCCACGCACTTGGAGGGAGTAGATACGCCACTGTAGCCACAGCGATTTCCCCCCCCCCAATCTACTGGCTCCCATTTGTCTGTTTTATTTAAATTTGGTTTTGTTGCCTACAACAAGCGAAAGGCGTAAATTACGCGCCGCGAGTGCGCAGTGGCATTGTGCGCATGCCACTCTAAACCCTCGACACACTCATCTTTATTAAAACCTAATCTATGAACCGTTTTATTACATCATAAGAAAATGGTTTACTTGTACCACGATATACATGTTAAGTTCCGATTGTGTGTTTTAAGTTATGGGTTAATTTCGGTAGGAAACTGTTATCATAAAATTTGGGATTAGACACGTGTTATTAGAATCGCTGCGTGGATTCTATGAAAATGTGTAACCTATACACCAACTTCACGGTCATAAATACAATCCTTGTAGCCACAAACCGGAGACAGCAAATGGAGAATGGAGGATACTACATAACGAGGAACTTTGTCACTCATATGGGTCATCTAATATTGTCAGGGTAACGAAATCTAGGTTAGAATAGGCTGTACACGTACCGTAGCTTGGATTGGTTATGTAAGCATATTTTTGGAAAGATTTAATACGAGATGGAAAGTTAATATGCAAATGGACCTCACAGAAATCATCTGTGAGGATGGTAGGTGAATGGACGTGGCTCAGGTTAGTGTCCAGTGGGGGACTTTCGTGTTCTCGCAGTGACTGTTCACCGTTCCTACTGGCTCACTGCATGATTCTTGCAGGTTGTTTGCTCTTCGACCCTGAAGTTGGAAGCAGCACGTTCCACCGAAGCGTTGGCGAACTTGTACTGGATCACACGGCGTCAAATCCACGAAGAAAATATTCTTCGTAGTCTCCGCTTAGAGCCTTAAAAACATTTCTTTTGTTCACCCTTTAAAGACTGATAAAGTCAAAAGTCAAAATTATGTTACGATCGACGGTCAGTCGGCCAAGTCTGTCTTGGTGTCAAGGTCCCATTTGGGGCCCGAGACAAGATTTTTGTTACTGTCACAAAGTTTCTTGTACCATACGACACACAAACATGTCCTGTGGGTAGAATGCAGGGTTGTAGTTCGTTAGAGTATTTGGTACATAGATCAACCACTGGGCTTTGAAGGGTTGATTCATACTGAAGGTAACGCAACACTTCTAATGCTCAGAAACCACAAATATTGGGAAGGGACAGATAGAGGTGGCGGCGCGCGTTTCTTCCATTGGTCAAAAAGCAGCAAACATCGAGGCCTCGAGATTCAGTATTTACAGACGATATATTCCGTGTCTAGCAATAGAAGGGTTAAATCCTATGATGGTGACCTCATATGACCTTTAAGGCAAGATATCTCGTGCGTAACATGGAACAGGTTAAACCTTAACATGGCGATGTCTTATGATGACACTTGTAAACAAGCTATCTCGTATGTAACAGGAAAAGGGTTACATTTTAATGCGATGACGTTACAGTTGACTTTACTAAACGAGATACTTCGTGTGTAACATGGAAAAACTGAAATCCTAACGCTGTGACACTCCATGATGACATCTCTGAACAACATATCTGGTACGTAACAAGAAAGGGCTAAATCTTAACTTGATGGTGTTTCTACAATAGATAATGCTAGTGGGGTGGAACTAAGTCCCTTGTACTGCGGCCACTTCTGGCCTATTATACCAGCCACAGATGATAGGTCAGGGTGATTGTGGAGCAATTGGTGGAATGAAGATTGGCAGGGGAAACCGAAGTACTCGGAGAAAACCTGTCCCAGCGCCACTTTGTTCACCACAAATCCCACTTGACGAGACCCGGGTTCGAACCCGGGCCGCCGCGGTGGGAAGCCAGCGACTAACCGCTTGAGCTATGGCGCGACCTTCTACAATAGGTAAGTTGCGCGTAACATGCAAAAAGTTAAATGTTAACGTGGTATGTTTCGTTTGACGTTTATAAACGAGATATATCGTGTGTAACAAGGAAGCGGTTACACTTCATTCTGGTGATGCGATGTGATGTTCCCATACGAGATATCTCGCGCGTAACATGGAAAGCTTCAAATTCCGAAGTGTCGACTTTCCATTTGACGAGATATCTAGCACGTAAGAAGGACACGGTTTCATCTAACGACGTGACGTTTCATGATGCTGAATCTGAAGCTATATTGCCCGTAATCATGGTGATGATAAATGACTGCTGTACTTACCGACGACCACGACGTGACCGAACACACTGCCGCTGCCAATGGCGGAGCAGTTCCAGCGGCGATGTCGGAACTGTTCCTGGCACTCGACGGTGCCGAGACGCACGCCGTCCCCTACCGCCACCATGGCGTCGGGCGATGAGCGACACATGTCACGCTGTAGCGCCGTCAGCCCGGGAATTCGCCCACAGATGACGTGAGCCTCCAGCGCAGCCACGACGCTGGACATCACCCTACAAGAGACGCGTCAACTACGTTACCACAGCCCGTCACTGCAACTTCCAGAATCTTCAAGAGCGTGCCTATGCACCTACTTCACGATGCCTTCAACAGCTTTGAATATATAGCATTGAGGGGGAGGATAATTAATGTCGGGTCAGGGAAAGAATGAACCAATTGTCCAGCAGCTACCTCCCTTCTGCTTGCATTTCCCCACTGTCGCCGGATGTGACTTGTATTCTGGTATAGTCTAATATGAATTTCGTTTTAAAATATTTGTTTCTACTGCGGCAGATCGTTTATGTTGCGTTTGATTTATATAAGCCGACTTTTACTGGTTCTGGTCCCCGATTGGGGCCGAGTAGGTTTTTTACCTGAAGACGGAAGCAGAGTCGAGGACGATGAATAATAATCAAAAGCGTCAAGCATTGAAAAACGATATCATTTCATTTTCTTATAATAAATTAATTACAATATAGACTACAAAACTTGTTATAATTAATTGAAGTCGATGACAATACGATTATAACAAGGAATAATAATGCCCTAAACGGCTTCTTTCTCTTGGGGCATGAAGGTGGACGTGTGCTCTGTAGGTACGATGCAGGAGCAGGCGGCCGCCTTGAACCACACAATCCATGTTCATTCTTTCCCTGACCCGAGTACAAATTATTTAACAATAAATTGGACAGGACATGCAAGGAGGCGGTCGCAGCCTAATTTAATGCAGTACTACAGAATTTGTCTTGAGGGACTGAGGAAAACGACGAAAAGCCCACAGTCATGATAATCCGTTCCAGGTTTGAGGTCTGAATACGGAGAATAAAATACACGGTAATGTTTTGTGTACTACTTATTTGCGCGTTGGCTCGACGGGCCTCTAACGAACGTGTCTCATTCTACTCCATCATTTGTTTTCTGATCCGCTTCAATTTGAGTTCTCGCAAATCATTCTCTGCTATCAGTTGAATAAAAATTAGATAAACCTTAACTCGCCTAATCATTTATTGCTGCCGCTACGAATCCAAATTTTTGTCATAATTATAATCATTATAAGTTTTAGGGGTTGATAAGCCTGTACTTAAAACTAATTTGGTAAAGCTGCTAATGACAGGTAGCCTGCATGGGAGGAAGAAGGCGCAACATGAGGTGGAAACTGCTCTAAGTTGTTCTCGATTATGATGCACTTATATCATCAACGCAACTATAATTCACTTTAATTGGGAAACCATTTTCATACATAATGATGCAGTCAAACAGCCAGATGTACAGCAACTGCTACAAAAACTGTGGCGTGATATCCTTACAAGTTATTCAGGGCGGTGAGGGAACAGATAGGAAATGCAGCAATACAATTTACATTGGAATGTGAACCACAAGAGAAGTCGTGGAACTGTGGAAGCCCGACACAACCTGTTCAGGACGCTCTTCTTCCACGTTAGTGAACCCAGAAGTACAGTTTACTGGCCATAACTTCCTTCCGAAATTATTCTCTTCATTACATTGTTTCGTGATCCTCTGGCCGTCAAGACAACAAATATTTCAAAATAAAGCAGTCTAGTTTTTTTACATCGGTTCTATTTAATAACTGCTACACGTTTCGGTCCGTATTTTGGACCATCCCAAAGCAGTTTCATTAAATATGTCTCACGTTACTGAAATATCATAAACTCGTTATAATCATAATATTATTAAAATTGTAAAAAGATTTTTATATTCTTAAAATTCTCTCGTTGTTACGACGTAAAATTCTGATATTTGTGGCGTACTGTAGGTGGTGTTTATCTTCTGGGGTCCGCTGTTATGTTTTTATAAGTTTTTGGTACTGTTCGTGTATAATATTATTAGTTGTATAAGTGTTTCTTCTTGCCTTCTTGAATGTGACATCGTGACTGGTTTTGTTTCTCTTCAGAGTGTGCTGTGTACTTCTTATCGTGAGGACGTTTGTTTTCGTGTCGTTCCTGTTCCTGGTTTCAAAGTGGATAAAGATAAAACGAAATACGACTAGAGTCTTCTGAAATACGACGCTATTTAGTCTGGTAGAAATTTAGAAATGTTTCGAAGGAACCTGTTGCCTTCATCTTCAGGACAGAAGAGCAAGCGGTCAGTGATGTAGGGAAGAGAGAAAAAAATGTATTAGGTTCTTCCAAAACGTTGGTAGACACACCGAATGGCTTGAACCAAAGTCTAGAGACCAATTCTCTACCTGTCCCTCTTGGGAAAAAATTCTAGCGGCCCCCATGCACACAGATAACATACGAAGATTTTTAACTTAATGAAAAAAAAAAGCCACAGGAATGAAATTGTGTGAGCCAGTTACGTTACTTGAACAACAAGGAACAACGACACATAACAAGAATAAACAACTGACTAAGAAACATTTCTAACAAGAAGTCTCCCTTTCGAAATAATACCTTGACCAAGGACATACATGTATCCCATCCCGAGAAGGAGTTGCTATCGGATTATATTGTATAACCGAAGAGCTATTACGTACCGTCCACCTGCAGGCCCCACTTAAGGCAAGAAGACAGAGCTAATAAAACTGGAATTTACAGCGCGCCCCGATAAGAGAATGAAGTCAGTCAAGTCGGGCTCTTTACCACAGACAATGGACGGGTTCCCGTTAGCACGTTGAGAACTGGGGACAAGGATAAGGAACTGTGACAGCAGCACTTCTGGCATGTGACACCGGGCAGCATGCAAGAAATTCACGACATGTCGGAGGAACATATTGCATCCATCTTCACGACAAAAGCAAGTAGCCAGTAAGAAAGAGGCGGCAAGCGGGGTGAACTGCAGCCCGAAACCCTAACAATATACGGGAGGTGAGCACGAGCAACGGGAAGAGTAACACATATTGAGGAAATGTCGGTGAATTTCTACCGGACTATACGGCGTCACATCCCAGAGGGTTATAGACTCGAGTGCAGAGCAGTAGTACGAGGATTGTACTTTCAAGGAAAATTAGAGGAAAGAGACAAACGTTAAGTGAAACAGAGACCGAAAGAAAAAAATGTAAGTGAGAAAGGAAGACGAGAAGGGACAAAGACAAGACAGGCATAAAAAAGGAAAGATGAAACAGAAAGAAAAGATAAGACTGATAGACTGACTGACCGACCGACTGATACAGAAATGTGGACAGACAAACAGGTAGAAACACAGACAGATAGACAGAACACACTGATAGGCAGATACATTGAAATTACCACGATAAAGAGATCTATTTCAGAACTAAACTATATGCACAGTAGTGTAACTCCCATTGAGAATTCAGCGGGAAATCTCATTTTTTGTTACGTAAGTTTCCGTGCTATTAATTTCCCTTTCTTTCCTTCCATCCAGTCCTGCGTGTCATCGAATTATGCATTCAGGCAGACGTTTAAAGACATCACCCACCAACAACACGCACAAACAGTCAATTGTATTCCTTTTACAGTACATCACACCCCACATATCCATACCAAAATATTATCAATACTCATAGAATAAACAGAATACACGAAAAAAAAAGAGGATCTTGATAGTTCGTTGCTATGGTAACAAGCAACTGCGTAATGTCGGTGATAAATCTCACGCTTACAAAATGTTTTGTGTATGAAGAGAGATTATATAACTGATCCTTTATAGACATTGACAGGGGCATAGCTAAATAGACGGACAAATGGGGGGAAGAANTGGGGGGGGGGGACACACACACAGAAAATTAGAAAAGAAGGGAGAAATAACTATTAGGATGGTCTTCTCGGACGTGACACCATATAGTATGGTAGATGGGTACTGACGTGTCATACAACCTGTCGCGTCCATCGCCACGGTAATAAAAGTAGGTGATCCCTTCGAAACGTCAGTGTTTATATATTAGGTTTTTTTTATTGCTAGTGAGGTGAGACTAAGTCCCTTGTACTGCGACCACTTCCGGCTTGTTGCACGAATATATTAGGTTAAACGGCGTCATATCCCAGAGCACTGTAACCAAAATATTACTGTTGTGAGAACCTCTAATCTGAATGTACAAAAACGTTAAATAAGAACGGGAAACTCAAGACAGAGTATAATGAAATGACATCAGGGAATCATACACGTGCATGCCCACATATGTCGCTGTGTACACATAAACTGAACTGACACATTACAAGCGAAAGAAATTCTAGGGAAGAAGGATTGAACCTGAAACGAAAAACGCTTGCTATTTGTAGGCTGAAAACCCCACACACAGAAACAAACAAACAAACAAACAAAAAGGTAACTGGATATAATTTGCTGATGCCGTGACATGGAAGCTGCAAGTGGCCTCGCATTCCTCTCGTGCGTGAGTCTCAGCGTCTAGTTTGAAATTAAAGCTGAAAGCCTCGAATTTCAAGCCATAATTTAAGTTAACCGGTTGCAATCACCACGCAGTAATTGGCGACAGTTTGTGGGGCAGATAGATGACCTGCACAACAAAATTCATGGGGCGTCTAAATGTGACTTCGGAGGGCCGCAAACACTCCGTCTCACACACAACAAAGCAGTTCTAGCCCAACAATCTGCTTCATTAACAATTCACTCTATTGCATGTTTCGGTTTGGGGCCTCGATATCGCAGTCGGTATAGCGACGGGCAAGAATTTTCTGTCCTACATAGCGTCCAGACAGTCTCTGAGGCCCATCCAGCCTCCTATCTAATGAGTGTCCAGGGCTGTTTCCCCGAGAGCAAAGCGGCCGGGGAGTGAAGCTGACAACTCACCTCCGTCTAGTACCGAGGTTAAGAATGGTGGCGCTGTACCTTCACTCCCCTACACGTCTTCATGGTGTCGTGTACAAATTGTTGGGCCGATGTTTCTTTTTTAAACTGTCGTTATATAATTTTGTCTTAGAAGTGCAATAAATTTTAAATATTACTCAGCATATCAACCGTAAGTACTTTATCCAGCACACACATACCGCCAAGAGGAACCAACAGTTTGTACGAACGCATCTTAAAACCAAGAGACAGCTCGTCCAGCACGAACCTAGTACCAACAAAACTCCCA